AACGGAAATCGCAAACGTCAGTAACAGCCTTTTTTTATTGTTTCTGCAGCAGTATCACATGTAACTTCATAAGGAAATGTTAGGCGTAACGTAGCTCCTTTCTAAATTTGATTTGATTGAAATACTAAGCTCAGCGGTAGGCTCAATACTGCGTGAGGTTTTAGAGCTTGTAAATGATATCGAAATAAAACAGCCAATGACATGAGGCTTACTTTGTTTCAGCACCAAGCTGTTCAGTTTATTCTCGCCGAGATGGCAATGAATGTGGAACTGGCACGACTCATGACGTATAAAAGTGCATATGAGGTATGGTTCACGATGTAGCGATAATAAAGAAATGTAATTGAATTTATCTGGTCCCCTAAGGTTGTTTTACCTTCATTGTGGTAACCAGAGATTTGATTCTTGGCAAAGTAAAGTTGTTTGAGGTAGAAAAGTTTTTCTGCATTGTCGCAATTTTGAAATAGCGCGTAATTTTGTCTCCAACATTGAGTGAATCGCCCTAACCTCAATTCTCGTAACGAAAGAGGTGAGAAGTAGGTTTATCGAAGATTTGAGAAACATCTTTAATTTTTTTGACATATAATAGCGCTTACTAATTTTGCCTTGCCTCTTACGCCATCAACCCTTTGCGGTTCATCTATCTTTTTGAATTTGGCTATCTCGATTCCAGTGTGACGTCCGTATCCTGACAACAGCACAAAACCTTGCTTTCATGGATTTAGCATGAAATATGCTGCTTTTCCCCGTTTTATAATTATAAAGTAAAGTCATCTCAGCGATGCCAATTCAAACTTTTTTAGTTCTCTGACCGTTTTATTTCATTCTGATTTGCAATGAGGTGAAGTTCGAGATAATGTTGCAAAGTAGTATCTGAAAGTTAATGGCACCTTGTATAGTCACAAAAGGCACTGCCAACACCAGTGGGGTCATATTTCTATTGCGCCTCTAAACCAACCGAACCTCTCTCTCTCCGAGGTCGAAGTGCTATCAGAGCTAAGGATGAAAGCATTGACTGAGACATTTTCTGTCCCCGCA